CGTGCGGAGCAGATCAGGTACCAATAAAATCCCAAATCTTGGGCCTCTTCACTTAGCCCATCAAGTTCCCCTGGACAGTGCATTACTAGTAGAACCTACATTCTAGCAGGCCTCACCGCACTCGTTTCCAATAAATGGTCGGTCATCGCGAATTATCTGATGACGTGCTTTTAGGATGCCTACACAGGAGGCCATGGAAGAATGCAGGTTTCAGTCGACCGTAAAGACCAAATTATTTTTCGCAATCGAAATCATCTAGGACCCATAAAACAACCGCATGCCCACGCGATCTTTGGAGCAATTGCAATGTGCTTATAATGCTATTTCCGCAGCGAAGATCTCACGGCAAGCCGATTTTCACTAGCGCAAGGACATCAGAAGAAGAGAAGACTTAATCCGGAAGTTGGCGGGAAAATATCCAAAGTGTACTGATCTACTGTGGGGGTCTGGTCTATCTTCTCACAAAGTGCTTCGTTGGGTGGCTGACCATTCAAGACTTACCGAGCGGTGTCGATCAGCCCATTCCAAGTAAAAAACAATTATCTACTATATGAAAAGTCTGCCATCCACACAGCTGAAGCACATCAAATTGCTAGCGGCGGAGATCTTATACTCCGATAGCAGGTTCTATGATGCTTTCGCTGTCACTTTATGTTTTTCTCCATGAGAAGGTAAGCGCCAGAGATCAATGATAATAGTCTCGTTCCAGTTTATTGATGCCAAACCGCATGACAAATTCGTATATCGAGGGCTACTAAGTATATGTTTTGAGGGTTCCATGGAACTTCTGACATAAAGCGATGATGGCTTTTAGTGATACACGAGTCAGTGCTAAGAGAGAATGTCCTACAGTCTTTCCTTCAAGAGCTGGCTGCAGGTGGCTTGGGTGACATTTTAAGGTCCTGTGTTCAAAATATGCATGGACTGCAGTTACCAATACCCGCCTGATCTACATGGGATCATAATGTCGCACAGTGAACGCAGTCAGATCCTCAATTGCAGAAGTACATGGATCGTGACGAATTGTAGTAGTAGTACAAGTAAAGTAGTAGCTGGGCCGAGCGCACGACAAACTTCCGAGTTAAGGTTACAACGTTTCCTCGTTCAATGAGCGTTTTCGTTATATGCTAAGTTGCATCATCTATATTTTCATACATAAGTACTATGCATACGCACTATCATTGGAACGTGGACTTCGGATCACCGCTGAATGGCTGGCTAATTTTACACAACATGAGGTTTCGGCTAGTCACAAGCCTAAAGCAGAATGCAGAAAACCAAATCAGTGTACGTCCAGCCCAAGGATTTGAATTGAGGCTGGGGGTCAGTTATACAAGAATGCTTTAGGCAAATAACCACAGTCCCAAGGAAGGTCGCAGCTAGGACAAGACGTCCGTCTACTGTGTTATATCAACTGCAACAACTGACATTCTGATTATGGCAAGACATGGGAAATCTGCGGGCGACGAATAATTGCACAGGAGTCCGTCCCTTCCCTATCAAACAAGTATACCGATGGCCGTTGTGGAAAAAAGCTTGGTTGGTCGCTGGTCCATGTGGAAAGCGAACTCCGCCAATGGGTGTGTTTCGGATTGAAGACCTCCAACGGTGCAGCTAGGATCGGAGTCCCACCCATCTACCAGTAACAGACTACCACCACTGAGCGTCCAGACTTCCCAAACCTGATGAGAATCAGTAAGGAGGGAATGCACTCCTAGACCAAGCCGGGCGCTTCAAGAAGCAATAGCGGTCCCTGCATGGAACGCGTGGACCCTCAGGGTCCTATCGAAAGGAGCGTTTGCGGCCGCAAAGGTGTTTTCATTTCATGGACTAGCAGACAATCCAGACCAACTCCATTCGGCAGAAACTGGGCGGCACCCAATCAATACAGGGCTGTTGCTTATTAGTCTACAGGGAGGTGTTAATCAAAGCTGAGAAGGTGAACGAGTCAATCATGGGAAGCTTGACTCTACTTCGTAAGGGCATTGCCAAGACCGGATTCGATGCGGCCCCCCCTGCAATTAAATCGGCGGTCTCAATCTAATTGTCGGATGGGCCCCGGCCCCAGTTATCACCACTATGTATGTGACGGGATGGCACCATCTCTATTGGGTGGCAGGTGGCATTATTGCGCCCCTCCATTTTGAGAATCAGGCCTTGTCGCTATTTTTCTTTTTCCCCGCCACATTTCATCACGCAGAACATGGAGAACTTCCCATAATGAAAGTGCAGTACTGTTACAAAAGCCACTGAGGGAGGTGAGCAAGAGTCCAGAAGGGACTAGTGCGCACGTGGTTGATCGCTGACTACTGCAGTACCACCTGACAAATTAGTTAGTTACCTACATCCATCTAGTACTTTGTAACAACAGTTGGACGACATTACTTCAGCCCGGCTTCCAAATTCATCTCTTTATCGATTCCAAAATCGAACAGATTCTTCTATCTCCAACGACTGACATGACCTAAACAAGCCACTTCCGGCGGAACTCGCAAAAATGGCATTTCTTGGCAGGGCGGAGTTGGAGCCAGAATAGCTCCAGAGTGAAACTCGCCATGTCGCAGACTGCCGCCGGACGGCCAGAGGGCCTCCGGCATTCGGTCCACTCTTCTGCTCCGGTATGTAGCTAAATTCGCTGGGCCCTTTTCGGCGCCTCTCCGTCTCCCCTGTTTGGACAACGCTAATGCCCAAGTAGTAACTGGCTCCTGCAAGGGTGTCTCGACCTCCGACTCTGGAACCTACCGGCGTGTTTGTGGTCTGTGGTCTAGTGCCTGCTTTTCATCAATCTCAGACTCTCCGTCTGCGATGACCCTATCCCAATCAACTCCGCGTCTCAGTCGGGCCTGTAGTCAGTGGGAACTTGACAGCTGCCGAGAAATCCAATTGCAGCATGGCTATCGGGGAGTGAACCTTTCATTTATCCTGGTTCGAAACCGTTCGGTCTGAGCTTTGGGCGGAGACTTGATAGAACTACGACCATGGCTAGCATTATATAAAGGCGCTGGATTCGCGTCTCGCTTCGACCTTTCTTCCTTTCCTCCTCATCAGCTTCTCATTCATTTCTTTTTCGGGGTCTCAGAACCATCCATTCTCTTACTTTCCTTTCCTGGCTTCATTGATTGAAGACCATTTGCTTCGTCACTCTTTCTTTCCCAACCGATCCCTCTTACCCACGATCACGCTGTGCGTCGATTTGAACCAAAGCCTGCAAAATGTCTGTCGCTAAGATTGCTGGTATTGTCCTCGGCTCGGCCGCCCTTGTTGCCGGCCACGGTTATGTGTCTGGTGCTGTCGTCGACGGCGAGTACTACGGAGGATACATCGTCACCTCCTACCCGTATGAGAGTGACCCTCCGGAGACCATTGCCTGGTCTACCGAAGCCACTGACCTTGGCTACGTCGACGGCACTGAATACGCCGAGGCTGACATCATCTGCCACAAGAGCGCTAAGCCTGGTGCTCTCTCCGCTGACGTCAAGGCTGGTGGTACTGTCGAGCTTCAGTGGACTGACTGGCCCTCCAGCCACCACGGTCCCGTCCTGACTTACCTTGCCAACTGCAATGGTGACTGCTCCGATGTCACCAAGACCAACCTCGAGTTCTTCAAGATCGACGAGAGCGGCCTTATCAGCGACACTGAAGTCCCTGGAACCTGGGCCACCGACAACTTGATCTCCAACAACAATAGCTGGACTGTGACCATCCCCTCGACCCTCGAGTCTGGCAACTACGTCCTGCGTCACGAGATCATTGCCCTGCACTCCGCTGAAAACAAGGATGGCGCCCAGAACTACCCTCAATGTCTCAACCTGAAGGTTACCGGTAGTGGTAGCTCCACCTACTCGGGCACCAAGGGTGAAGCCCTCTACAAGGACACCGACCCGGGTATCCTGATCAACATCTACGAGAGCCTGAGCTCCTATGACATCCCCGGCCCTGCCATGTACAACGCCACTTCCTCCGGCAGCTCCTCCAGTGCCTCTTCTACCAGCTCCGCTGCCGCTGCCGCCGCTACTACTTCCAGTGCCTCTTCTACCAGCTCGGCTGCCGCTGTCGCCGCTACTACTTCCAGTGACTCTACTTCCAGCGCTTCCAGCTCCACCACCAGCGCTGTTGCTGCGACTAGCTCCGCCGTAAGCGCCACCACCACCACCGCCGCTGCTGCTGCCGTTGTCACCGACGTTGAAACCACCGTCCAGACTGCGGTCGCCACTGCTTACCAGACTTCGACTGACGTTGTGCAGGTCACTGTCACTGGCAGCGTCCCCCAGCAAACCCACATCCAGGTTGCCAGCTCTAGCGCCGCCGCTGTTGCCACCCCCAGCAGCTCCAGCGTCGCCGTCTCCAGCGACAACCTCACCAGCTACTTCAGCTCTCTGAGCGCCGAGCAGTTCCTCAAAGTCCTGAAGGAGACCTTCTCTTGGCTGGTCACTGAGAAGAAGCACGCCCGTGACCTCAACGCCTAAGCGCCCAGCCAGACGTGGAAGTTCGGATCATATAGACATTCCTTCTTGTTTCTATCTGACGGCTACACGAGCCCTTTTAGCCGTCGGATGCTCTTTTTCGCTTCGGATCGGGTATCCACTTATGTACCTATAAAATATCAATATTGAAGCTGTGACTTTCAACTGTACCAATCTTTTTCGTAGATTATCCTTCTTCTGTATCTGCTGTAGAGATAGGAGCGACATTCAGTAGTTGTTGACAAGTGACTGGTAACAGTTGACGGTCATAAGCAAGGCAACAATGGCCTGCAGAGCATGGCTCACAAAATTCTCGTCGGCGCTCTTTCCAGCCTATCTTGAGAATGTTGTCTCTCTTGATCGTCGGAATACCCCGTGACCGATTCTTACCTTGAATGGAAGGCACTGCTACAAGGAGTAAAGGCCTGGCTTCTCATAGACTACTACCTCTCCTCTCCTTCAAATTCCCCCTCTCATATACTTAGTATTGATCAAAGCGCTGCTAACAATCTTCTTTCCCCATCTCCGCAAGCCATCATGTCGCCCTCCCAGGTCACGCCTCAGCAGCCAGATGACATTCCTCCCAATGAGAAGAGTCAATATCGGATGATCAAGGAAGCTGGATTCAACGGCATGCATGACTTCATGTTATCTTATGGATTGAAACCCTATAATTTCGAGGACTACGATGAAGCGAATCAGATTATAGACAGCATGAGACGGTATGACCAGGAGTATTGGGAAGCCGAGCAGCAGGGAGGATCCCAAGAGCACTACGAGAATCAGGGAGAAGACTATAGCGAGACTGATCCCGAGTATTGCGAGTACTGGGAAGCAGAGCCGGATGAACAAGAATATGTGGGTTGGGATGAAGGACCAATTCCATTCTATCACGACCAGTATGAAGGCTATGAGGGAGGCCAGAGCCACTACGACTTCGAGGGCTGCGAGGCAGACATGAGTGAGCCGCTCCAGGAGTGCTATGATCTTCCAGACTGTGGAATGGATGATGGGTTCTGTGATGACTATTATAAAAGTTGAGTTGAGGACTGGTGAGTAGACTCCCAATTTGTGCGTTTTGCTCTACCTGGGTGCCTGCGAAGTATACAATAGGGCCTAACCTGAACGGTTCAGTGGCACTCTCCGGCAGGTACTACCGCTATCCTCTGACATGATACTGGGCAGGAAAACAAATTGTGCGTTTGGTGAAGGTTGAGGGAGTATTGAACTTCTAAGGATTTTCATGCTTTTGATTGCTGGTAATGATGTATGCGTAGAATGTGTTGAAACCTCGGGAAGCGGGGACCACGCGGGCGATTGTTGTTGCGGTAGTCAAACCATTCGTTCGTCCCCTCAGCAGCTCTCCGAATAGCGTTTTCTTCCCTTTATCCACTCCCCGGATTCTCCATTTCTGTTGGCGTGGGCTGCATGGCTTAGATCATCATCTAATTCTCGTCTACTAAACCACTGCACCCTCGTTCCTCCATCATGTTCAAGAAGAAGCCCACGGTACGTTACCCCTCCCCCGCACCACTCTGAGAACGGTTACAACAACAGCAAAGTCAATCGTGCCTTTTTGCGCGCATCGCTCACAATAGACAATCGCAGATCAAAAATCTCTCTCCCCTGCGGTCGTCCGACCGTCGGAAGATTGCCGATCAGATTATCAGCGATTACAAGATCGAGGTCCCACAAAGTGCACCGGTTGAAACCAGCGGCGACGACTCAGCTCCAGGCGCATCCAACCCAACGGCGCCAAACCTTACCTCCATTCGAAATGCTCTACTCCCCGAGAACTGTTTGACCGCACGCTTTACTACGACCGCCGGACCTCAGCTCCGCGAAGTACAAGGGACGGTGTATGTTGGAACACATCCCGGGGCCGATGAACGGGTTCTGTGGTTCAGAGTCGACCACGGCCCCGGCGCCGATGGACGCCTCTACCCTACGGTATATACACTTTGGCACAACCCAGATCTGGTGCCACTGCTTCATACCCCGCAAATGGTCATGCAGAAACTGCACGGAGGAGCTGACCTGATGACTCCGGGTCTGGCCAATGACCCGCCTTTCGACGAGCGTGCCGTTAAGGGTGCAGTGGTTGCTGTTGCAAGCCTTAATAGGCATACGGTACCGCTGTTTGTGGGCGTGTGCGAAATCGACATCTCTGCCCTTGGTGAGGTCCAGGGCACGAAGGGGCATGCCGTTCGAGGTCTGCACTGGGAAGGTGATGAGTTGTGGGCATGGAGCTCGTCTTCCAAGCCGGGTCAGCCCGCTCCAGAGTATCTGGAGGGTTGGGATGATGAACTGGAAGAGGACGAAGATGTAGGAGAGATCGAAGAGGGCGTCCAGAGCCTAGCAGTAGGTGGTGAAGAGGCCACTCAAGGAGCTGGAGGCGAGGAAGCATCGGACGAAGCGCCTGATGCCCCGCAGGAGGAGGTTCCTGAGGTTGAAGAGAAAGAGCCCACAACTAAAGGTGAGTCTCACTCAATACACCGTGAGTGTTGTTATCCTAATCATTTTGAAGAAATTGATGAGGCGTTCGAAAAGGCCTTCCTCTACTCCCTCTACAAGCTCAAGCAAGATAACCCATCCGCTACCAATCACGGTCTATCTCTACCCGTTCAACCATCTGCTCTGATATCGAACATGATCACACCCCACCTGCCCATATACACCGCAAAACAAGCCCAGTACTACCAAATCAAGAAGACCAGCTGGAAGAACGTGAAAAAGTTCATCAAATACCTGGACAAGCAGCGCTTGGTCAAGTCCAAAGACCGCAACGGTCAAGAGACCGTCATCCTTGATGTGGACTTCAATGACCGTCGCGTCCAAGAATTCGTCCCTTACAGACTGCCATCCAAGAACGCCGTCGAGAACGCAGGAAGATCTGCCACTCCAGCAAACAACGCTAAGTCCGCATCTACAGACAGCGGCGACCCCTCAGTCGGCCAAACCCTGACCGTGCAGACTCTTTATCGCCCAACCAACAAACTCACCCCAACCATCTTCCCCGCTCTATCCAGCACCCACCCCAGCAACTACTACAAATACACCGACATCTCCTCCCACCTCGACCAATACATCCAATCTCAAAGTCCCCCGCTCGTTGACCCCAAAAACAAACGCATCATCACCCTCAACCCCTACCTCGCCAACACCATCTTCACCTCCTCCTCTGCCGATGACAAGAGCACTCTCGCTCGCGGCAAAACCACCCGTGACGGCCTCCTCAAGCGCCTCATCGACGACCACTCCCTCATGACAGCCCACTACGTCATCCTACGCCCTGGCCAAACCCTCTCCGAGGTGAAGCCCAAAGCAGGCGCCGCCCCCAAAGTCAATGTGATCCTTGAACGCCGCACCGGTTCCAAGACCGTCACTAAGGTCTGGAACCTCGAAGTTTTCGGCATCATCCCTAGTCTCTTGGCCGAAGAACTGCAGAAGAAATGCGCTAGCAGCACCAGCGTAACGCAGGCTACTGGCGCGCCCAAGGGCGTCATGGAGGTGCTCGTCCAGGGAGACCAGCGACGCGCATTGGAGACGGCGTTGGTGAGACGTGGGTTGAGGACGCAGTGGATTGACGTTGTGGATAAGACGAAGAAGAAGAAATAAGGAATCAGGGTAAATATGTGTGTGGGGGATGAGAGGTGGTTTCGCATATTATACCGTTATATACGTACGTGCTGTAGTCGATGAATATATGTGCAGCCCTGGCTGTTGCAGTCCTTGGAAGTAAATGAATTCCTGGGTAATAGTTCTACATTACTACTTAGCGTGCTACTGCTATGCATCGGAAGTTCCCATGCTATCACCAGTCGCAATCTTGCTTGATGAATATTCCACGATAGTACACTCGCTTACCAAAAGGAAGGAAATTAAAACGGTAAAGATGAATTCCAGAACTTCCATTTCCGTGAGTCTAGGACGTAACATCCACCGAAGCAAGGATATCGGTTGATATTAATGAAAAGAAAGAAAAAAAAATAATAATAATAATGAAATTATACAACGCCATTATGGTACTATGGTCTTCAAAGTCCGGGGGTAGTAATTCGAGCCAAAGTCATGCTTTTTGTATCCCATAACCCTTATTCCCATTTTTCTTTCGAAGCAATGAATAAATATAAGCAAGTGGTGTCATTGATGATAGACAGCCAGCTTTGAATTGCAACTTTTCTCTCTTTTTTTGATTTAGATGACGTTATTTCGTTTACTCCTTGGCGTCCACCTTCTTGGCAGGGTGGTCGCCGTTCGCCTCGTCTTCGGCGGCACGCTTCTGGCCGGACTCGGCGGTGCTCTGGACAATGGGGACCCCGCTAGAATGTTTTGTTAGTATACGTACTTTTGCTTTGTGTAATGGGGTTGGTAATAGGGGGAAAGAAAAAAAAGTCAATACATACCGAGCATCCTTCTGGACCTCACTGCGCTCCTCCTTGGGCTCACTCTTCTTGTCGTTGAAGCCGTTCTTCTGGTCAGCCGCGCGGCGCTCCCTCCAGTCGCGGTTGTCACGACCACGGTTTCCACCACGGCCACGGCCGCGACCACGCTGGAAGCCACCGCGTCCGCGGGAGCCGCTGGGCTTCACGCGGCCAGCCTCAATGTCGCGCACCTTCTCGTCGCAGTAATCCTTCTTGCTCTTGATGAGCAGGTCCTGACCCTTCCACTGGGGCTTGGGGTCCAGGGCCAGGAAAGCCTTTTGCTTCTCCTCCGACTCGAACTCAACGAACACACTGCCCTTGAAGGTCTTGTCGTAGGCACGACGCAGACGGATGGCGTTGACGGGTCCGTAGGGGGCAAAAAAGGCCTCAATGTCAAGTTGAGTGGTCGGCTCCTCGTCGCCGAAACCCTTGGCGTAGATGCTACGGCTCATGGCCTGGTCCTCGAACACCTTGACCACGTTGTGGTCGTGAGTCTGCGACACGGTCTCCGGAAGGGGAGTCTTCCGGCGCACGGAGGTATCGTTATCGGTCAACTCAAGCGTCTCGGACGACTTGAGGGCCTCGACGACGGCGCTGAAGGGCTGGAAGCGGCGCATGCGCTTGAAGGAGTGCAGAAGTTCCAGAGGAACGGAACGGTTGGCGCTGCCGCCGACCTTGGAGAACAGGAACTTGTCCATGGGCAGGTTGGAGTCAGAGAAGTAGAACTCAACCTGCTTGCGGATCTCGACCGGGTCATCCGTCACCTGCTGCGTGGAGGGGTCAAACTTGGCGTTGTTGCGGCGGTTGAAGCGGCCCTCGCGACCCCGGTTGTCGTTGCGAGATTCCTGTGTCGTCTTCTGCTCTTCGGCCTTCTCAGACTTCTCGCCCAGCTTGGCGGCGGCCTCGACAATGCGGGCTTCCTCGGCATCTTCGGTCTCCTTCTCTTCGGCACCGTTGGCGGGGACTTCGTTCTCACCCTTTAGCTCGGCGAGGACGTTCTGGACATCCTTCTCAGCCTCAGCGTTGGGCTGGGCGACAGGCTTTTGCTCTTCGGACATGGTCACGAGCTGTGTTGTAGGAGTTTAAGGGGGTATAGGGGTGATTGATGTATGAGGTCTATACTAGAGTGGAAAGATATCAGTCAGTGATTCCTACATATCGTCAAAAGCAGAGAGGCACAGGCGATAAGTTCAGGATGAGGGTAGGGTGCAATCCCGCGTCAGAACCATGATACGGACCGATTTGGCCAATGATGGACGGAGAACCGCGCGACGGCGATGCGGAGAATTGGAGGAAGCAAGCAGGGCACTCGTATCTTACCTAGAATGCGCGTGCGCAAGATAGAAATATAAGCGGAAAAGAGGGATTGACCGGGAAAAGACACCTGCAAGTAATTTAAAAACGAGCTCCAGATGCGAGAGAGAAAATGGCCAGGCCAATTAATGCGCGGCGGGGGAAATTTTCTGAGCGCCGCAGCGGAGCAACTGTCTTGCTCGCCTCAGGCAGCCAGGCAGCGGTGTTTGTGTGGCGCAAACAGCTGACTTGGCCGCTTTAGGAAAGTAGCCGGATTGACCTCTTTCAACAAAGGTATTTTGACACATCCTGATGTATGCTTTCACAGATTCTGCAAAGCAGGTTAAGGATTACATGAGGGAAAAGTGAAGCTTAGTCGAAACAGGTGCCTGGAGTTTTGCGTTACCAGGTAGGTATATACCTGTAAAATCCCTAAATGCATGACATTGCTGCTAGACCGTTTCAACTGAATGTTGTCACTATTCTACTCCATCGCATACTACCGTCATCCCTCCCAGAGCTATATACCTCGTAACATCCCGAAATAGCCCGAGCCAGAGTGCTCATTTCTCAATCTTTGTTCAATCGGTCGCTTGTTCCACTATAGGTACTTCGATACAACGTTGTGGGCGCGCCTATGATGGGCTATCAACTCGAGTTCAAACGGAATCACGCCCTCTCCTCTAACGAAGAGCCGTATGAGACGGTCTTACTTGGACATGTCGACTCTCAACATTTTGCGGACTCTCCAAAAGAAAGTAGTAGTATGTTTGTAGACCATACTCCGAGGAGTGATCTTGAGATCGCAGCCAGTCAGATACCGGCCCCTCGTGTTAGTGAGAATTTCATGGCACCTGTGAATGATGTATGTAAAAGTCGAGTGCCTCACTGCCTGTGCTCCAGTCTGACGTACACAGATCACCAACAAGAAATGTCGAGAGTAGACTATGGAATTTGTTCGTCATCTGGTTGCTCGGGGTCTACTCGAGGAGGAAGCCGTTCAGATTGTCCAGTCGAAACGCGATTCGCCTGCCCATGGAATCGCTTTACAGCCTGCTGGTCGACGAGTAGTTTGAGGGGCTATCCAAATTTATGCAGGTGGCAAGTGCCGAAAGATATATGACTTGAAAACTTTTGGTTCCTAGCTGGCACTAAGAAGAGTCAATCAATTTAAATGCAATCAGCGAAAGATCAAGCCAAAGTACTTCTTAGCGCAGGATAACAAAGCAGCCGGTTTCCGGCACTTCCCCAGAAGGGGTATGTAGAACTGCACTTTGGGCTAAGAGCACCTGCCTTTTCCGTTTGGTTTCAGCCCCGTTGGTGCCTTTCATGCTGTCTGAATCAAACCCCTTCTCATAGTTATACTCCAGCCTAAGCCTTCCTTCGGTACCATGTCCTCAACATAGTTCCTAGGAGTTAGGCGGGCTTCATTGGATATACTTCGGACTACCACATTGCATTATACCACAAGAGCTGTGCCATTGTCTCGCCTCTCATTAGCCCATTGTCCGAGCCAATACGTCACACATTATTTGAGGTATTTCGGAATGTGCGTTTGCTTCTATTCCTATAATATACCAAGAAAGAAGCTAACAGGCGCAATCCTCATCAGAAAGGCATGCTGATAGTCGCCGGAACTCACGGTGACCGAGAAGAGAGCTCCCTTGTTCGATTTACGTACAACAGAGCCATTGCCTTCCAACGAATACGACTCGCTTCGAGCACTTTTTACGACCCTTTGACGGTGGTAGACTTACAATACTATTTCTCGTAGAAACCTACAGAGAAGACTGGTCAAGCCGAAGAGACACGCCAGCTCGTCTCATCATGGCTGAAGAACCATCATCCAAGTTGTTAGCCGCATGGCCTACTAGAGATGTAAGTCTGAAGCCTTTCCACCGGAAGACGAGTACCCTTACCATGGGCTTAGATCATTTACATTTCTATCTTGGGACCATTGTTGCTTGCAGCGCTACTGGAGTGGTTCCTCTTCCTTGCTGCGTTTATTTACTGCCTGATCAAGGTATATCAGAAGGCCGATCACTGGAGTATTCGAGTTCTCGCAGTCATCATGGCCCTCCTCATCACACTGTGCAGGTGAGCTTGTGTAAGTGCAAATGTTTCATGGATGAAAGTATTAAAACACACATGTAGGGGAATCTTTCTTCCAGTGATGATCGCTATACTTCCACTACCACCGCAAATCACGCAATTCTTTCCTCGCCAGCTCGTGTCGGTACTTCAATGGTTCGCTTTCTGGGCATTCTCTGCGCTTCTAATCATACCATGGCTATTTTGTGTCAATAGGTTCGTGATTCACTCCTTAGGGCGAACCAAGAGGGTGAAGGAGGCTTTAGATGACCGCACCGCACCAAAAACCGTCATTGTCATGCCAGTATACAAAGAAGATCCCCTTGTTCTGATCAAGGCAATTGACTCGGTCGTTAATAGCGACTATCCCAGTTATTGCATTCATGTTTTCTTGTCCTATGATGGGTGCAACATCGATGAACCTTATCTCCATGTGATCAACCATTTGGGAATTCCGATTTCGCTGGAGAGTTACCCGCAAAGCATTGATGTGACATATCATGGGGCAAGGATCACTGTTTCAAGATTCAAGCACGGTGGCAAGCGTCATTGCCAGAAACAAACCTTCAGGTTGATCGACAAGGTATATGCCGACTATCTAAAGCATCATGACGACCTATTTTTGTTGTTCATCGATTCAGACTGCATTCTTGACAAATTATGCCTGCAGAACTTCATGTATGACATGGAACTGAAACCAGGGAGCCAGCATAATATGTTAGCGATGACAGGAATCATCACTTCAACCACAGAGAGAAATTCTCTGATAACTGTTCTACAGGACATGGAATACATTCACGGGCAGCTTGTTGAGCGTACCGTGGAGTCCGGTTGCGGTGCTGTTACCTGCCTTCCGGGAGCACTGACAATCCTACGATTTTCAGCTTTCCGCAAGATGGCGAGATACTACTTCGCGGACAAAGCTGAGCAATGTGAGGATCTCTTCGACTATGGCAAGTGTCACTTGGGAGAAGATCGCTGGTTAACGCACTTGTTCATGATCGGGGCGATTGAACGCTATCAAATTCAGATGTGCACGAGTGCTTTCTGCAAGACAGAGGCGGTTCAGACATTCTGTAGCCTGCTTAAACAACGACGTCGATGGTTTCTCGGCTATATAACCAACGAAGTGTGTATGCTGACCGACGTCAGACTGTGGAAACGCTACCCACTATTGTGTCTGGTGCGCTTCATGCAGAACACAATCCGGACGACTGCATTGCTATTCTTCATTTTGGTAATCTCGATCATAACAACTTCCAGCAAGATCAAGAACCTGCCTGTTGGCTTCATTGCAGTTTCGCTCGGTCTCAATTACATCCTTATGGTTTATTTTGGGATAAGGCTCAAACGCTTCAAAGCCTGGCTCTATCCCCTAATGTTCATCCTGAATCCGTTCTTCAATTGGCTTTACATAGTGTACGGCATCTTCACTGCAGGCCAGCGAACGTGGGGCGGGCCTCGAGCTGACGCAGCCAAAGCTGATGAGCATACTACACCAGAGGAAGCGGTCGAGAAGGCTAGGGTCCAGGGGGATGAGCTGAATGTTCAGGTAGACACCTTTCGAACGAAAACAGAAGAGAAAGGCGTTCCCATCCGGCCTTCATCCAAGGTCAATGGTCGCCTCTCGTTTGCGCCACAGCTTCCAGATCGGTATTACGACTATCAAGGCGCTCTGGGGACCAGTCTCGCCAAATACCTGACCCCTCTTCCAGACGTACCTCGCATCGGCCTCCACCCACATTGCTCATCTGAATCGGTTGCGACATCCGATTCTGAAGGCAATTCAATTTCCTTGCCCCAGAATGTGGAATCCTTGATGAGCGCCGGGGAGCGGGCCAGACTCTCTATTAGTCGCCAGGCGCAGGAAGACACCGGACTTCTACACACACGGGAGGCAGATGGTGGAGAGCGTGGCCTGTATGTGCAATCTAACGAGGACCCGGTAGACAACCGGGCGTATGAAATGCATACCATTGAGTCAGAGAGCAGTGTCCCGAGCGGAAAGCCCCAGGTATCGTCAAGTGTTCCACAATCAGTGATGCAGCAATCTAGAGCTGTTCCTGGGTCTCAGCCCCATGGGCACTTGCCACAGCCAAGATACACCAAGCGACCTAGTAGGATTCCGAGGCAGAAGAGGAGACAGATGCAACCAGAACAAATGGTTTGAACCGGAAGGCAGTGCATAAGAAACCAAGCATCGGATTGAATTGGTAGTGAGCCTGAGGGTTGCCGGGGAACAGAGGCCGACTGACCAGAGTATTAGAGCGTGTTTTGAACACACATGCTTCTACTAATGAACTAGTTACTTGACTCTCGTTCACAGTAATGGCCTGTGATCCATTGTCTATTCACATCGTTTGTATTCAAATACTCTTTTCTCGCATTATCAAATAAGCCAAGTTACTATCCTCTGAGGTCATGGATGCGTATGGGGAATTCGTGCCCATTTAGACTCGATAATCAATAGAGTAAGACAAACGAAGGTTTACCCAATCGAATCGAATTCGCTACGGAGTATGACACATAACATTGGCATACAATGGTCAAAGGATTCTCTGTAACGGAAGTCTGCAATCCACTCAGACTGAGAGATACCGACGTGCCAGCTGGAGCAGTCGGGAATATCGAACGCTTGAAGAATCTATCTATAGAATGTCATACCAACCCTAGCAGTACTGTGGTTGGTTAGCTGAAAAGAAGAAGTGGCCAAACAGATCTGCACATGATGAGTCATCACAAACGGGAGAAAAACTCTGAACTATCGATAAGCCCCGCCAAAGCGGTCAGGTAAGGGTTCTGCCGGCACTAATGGAGCGGTGAAAGGTGGGAGGCGTCGAGCAGCAGCCAGAAGGTTCGACGAGCGCCCAAAGAAGCCGGTGAAGCTGTGCTGCGATGCTGCTAAGCGCCAGGTTGCTTATTTATTCCTGTAATCCTCCGACCTGGGGGACACCTGCGTTTTATATATTTCTGCATTGATCTCCTCTAGTGTGTTAATTATACACAGTTTCTTAATTTTTCTTTAATTTTTTGCCCAAGTGGAACCCATCAAATTGTGCTTAGATAGAGTATCTCTGCCTGATTGATACTTACTAGTCAAGTGACTGACGAGCCAGCGGTGCCCACGTTGGAAAATCGACGCCTCACCGCCCGCGAGCTTCTAGTGGCGGGTCCTGCAGTTCTCGCCGTGCAAATTCTCCCCCTCCGTCTCGCTCTTTTCTCTGCCCTCTTTGGATCCTCCCCCAACCTCTCCCCCTCAGTCCCATTCTTCCACTTTTTTCCTCTTTCATCCTCACATCACTCTTCTACTTCTTCTTCTTTCCCCTCTCTCCTCTTTTCTTCCCCCACTCTCTTCTCCCCCTCTCTACCTCTTCCTCATCTAGACAATGTCTGTCGTCGGTATAGATTTCGGTGCCCAGAGCACCAAGGTCGGTGTTGCCCGTAACAAGGGTATTGATATTGTGCGTCACTCTTTCCCCTCTGCCCAATTTTCTCTTTCCCCCTCCGAGCGCTGCCCATCCGCTCGTCATTATCTGTCCCAAGTAATTACTAACTAGTCCATTGTGATGGTTTACAGATCACCAACGAAGTTTCCAACAGATCTACTCCGTGAGTTCGCCCATTCTTTGCTTATCATGAATTTTATGTCGGCGCCATATCAGCTGCCCTTCCCAGTACATTAGTATACGAGCCGTGTACTGACTTATTTTTCTCCCACACAGTTCCCTTGTTGGCTTCAATGCCCGCAGCAGAGCTCTCGGTGAGGCCGCTAAGACACAAGAGACTTCCAACCTCAAGAACACGGTCGGCAACCTGAAGCGCCTGATCGGCCGCTCATTCAGCGACCCCGATGTTGCGATCGAGCAGGAGTACACCACGGCTCAGCTTTGCGATGTCAACGGCCAGGCCGGTGCCGAGGTCAGCTACCTCGGAAAGAAGGAGAAGTTCTCGGCTACTCAGCTGGTCGCCATGTACCTGACCAAGATCCGGGACATCACCTCCAAGGAGCTGAAGCTTCCTGTCTCCGACGTCACCATCAGCGTTCCCGCTTGGTTCACCGACGTCCAGCGCCGCGCCATGCTTGATGCCGGTGAGATCGCTGGCCTCAAGGTCCTCCGCCTGATCAACGACACCACCGCCACCGCTCTCGGTTACGGTATCACTAAGCTCGACCTGCCCGGCCCCGAGGAGAAGCCCCGTCGGGTCATGTTCGTCGATATCGGCTACAGCGACTACACTGCCTCCATCGTCGAGTTCCGCAAGGGTGAGCTCAACGTCAAGGCTACTGCCTACGACCGTCACTTCGGTGGTCGCAACTTCGACCGTGCCCTGACCGAGCACTTCGCCGATGAGTTCAAGGAGAAGTTCAAGATCGATGTTCGCACTCACCCCAAGGCCTGGTCTCGTACCCTGGCCGCTGCCGAGAAGATGAAGAAGGTTCTGTCGGCCAACCCTGCTGCTCCCATGAGCATCGAGTCTCTGATGGAGGACGTCGACGTCCGCGCCATTGTTAAGCGTGAGGAGCTTGAGGTCATGGTCAAGCCCCTTCTGGACCGGGTCACCGTTCCCATTGAGGAAGCCCTGGCTGAGGCCAAGCTCAAGCCCGAGGACATCGACTTCGTCGAGATGGTTGGTGGCTGCACCCGTGTGCCCGCCATCAAGGACGCCGTCGCCAAGTTCTTCGGCAAGACCCTCTCTTTCACCCTCAACCAGGATGAGGCCATTGCTCGCGGCTGTGCTTTCAGCTGTGCCATCCTCTCCCCCGTCTTCCGTGTGCGTGACTTCTCCGTTCACGACATCGTCAACTACCCCATCGAGTTCACCTGGGAGCAGTCTGCCGACATCCCCGACGAGGACACCAGCCTGACTGTTTTCAACCGCGGCAACGTTATGCCTTCCACCAAGATCCTTACCTTCTACCGCAAGCAGCCTTTCGATCTCGAGGCCCGCTACGCCAAGCCCGAGATGCTGCCCGGCAAGGTCAACCCCTGGGTTGGCCGCTTCTCCGTCAAGGGTGTCAAGGCTGATGCCAACGACGACTTCATGATCTGCAAGCTCAAGGCCCGTCTGAACCTGCACGGTATCCTCAACCTGGAGTCCGGTTACTACGTTGAGGACATGGAAGTCGAGGAGCCCGTTCCCGAGGAGGGTGATGTGAGTGATAATTCCCCCCAAAGTTCAATTCCGCGAGATGTTCCGATTACTGACGACTAATTAGGCCATGGACACCGATGGCAAGGATGGTGAGCAGCCCAAGAAGACTCGCAAGGTCAAGAAGCAGGTCCGCAAGGGTGACCTGCCCATCTCGACCGGCACTACCTCCACCGATGAGTCCGTCCTGAACGCCTGGACTGAGCGTGAGAACTCCATGTACATGGAGGACAAGCTCATTGCCGAGACCGACGAGAAGAAGAACGAGCTCGAGTCCAGCATCTACGAGCTGCGTGACAAGATTGACGGCGTCTACTCCGAGTTCGCCAACGAGGAGGAGAAGGACAAGCTGCGGGCTAAGCTGACCGACACCGAGGTAAGTCTTCACACAACGTTCGTTCCATTTTTCGCTTTACAAAGGCTAACGAGTTGTTCAGGACTGGCTCTACGAGGAGGGTGAGGACACCACCAAGTCGGTCTACGTGGCCAAGATGGACGAGATCCGCTTCGTCGCCGGTCCCATCATCCAGCGCTACCGCGAGAAGCAGGAGGCCGAGCGCCAGGCCCAGGAGGAGGCCGCCGCCAAGAAGCGTGCCGAAGAAGAGGCCAAGCGTAAGGCCGAGGAGGAGGCCAAGAAGGCCGAAGAGGAGGCTAAGAAGGCCGAGGAGAAGCCCGACGCTGAGATGAAGGACGCTCCGGCCGAGGGCGAGAAGCCCGCTGAGCAGTAAATTTGCTCGATTGGTAGATAACGGTGAGCCCAGCTGTGGGATCGCAGCTTGATGACAATGTGGTCACGAACAATGCAATCATGTTGAACCCCTTCAGTTGTTTATTACGGATTTCTTTTATTATTCTTTTTTCTCCCATTCCCTTTTACTCTATTCTGGCCGAGTGCCGGCACTGTGATGTAGAACGACATGATTTCCCCTTTCAGTACTTGCTTTTCCTCTCCGCGTCTGTTTGTGGTCGACCTGGAGATGCTGGCCTGGTCAAACGGCGGGAGCAAACTGGCAGGGGCACAAAAACTACTAGAGATGCGCCATGGCGATGTGGATAGACCTGCTTGAAAAGTATATGATTGGTAATACAGAATATAGTATCCTTGCACATGCAGATTGGTTGATTTTCTGCTTCTTCGTGTTACACAGTATGGGCCCAGTAAAGTTGAAATTGCTGCCAATATAGTTGTTACTACTATCGTAAGTGGGAGCGCCACAAATACATCGACAGTGGTACACCAGTCCAATTCACCCCACTTCTTCCCAATGAAGGTGTATAGATTACTGCCACCCCCCCCCCCCCCCCCCCCACCCAACCTCAAATCATTGTGAATACTACGACTGAATAACAGTATACCTCCCGCCAATACTATATACACCGAATGAAACTACTATCAGCACTACTTATACCTTCAGCACATCACCAAACACACCCTCCCCAGCCAGATCATGCATCAAATCCACCCACAAAAGCCTCTTCATGATCTCTCGCAACTCTCCCCACGTCCTGATCCCCACTCTCTCCAACCATTCCCGCAAACATCCTCTCAACCAGAGATCCGTCCCCTGAAATGCTGGCAGCGGCGGCAATGCAAGGATCCCGACCATCAATAGCCAGAGAATGAGTTCCGGGGAATCCTCCACCTGCCCCTCCCCAGCATCATCAAGAGGGTGCTGGCATTTTTCCATGAACGACAAGAGATGAGGTTGATACGAAGCAGGGAAGAATTCAAAAGGCAATGTCTTGTCTTGCCACTGGAGGAAGGTATGATGGCAGAAGGTGAGGAGACCTAGACGGAAGGTTTCGTTGTTGCTGTTCGGGGGGAAGGGCATTGGAAGAAGACGGTACATTACGGAAGAGAGAGTAGAGGGGATGATATCTGGGGTAAGGCGGCGTTGGGGGGTCTCGGTGATGCTTGTGTTGATTAGGGTGCAGAAGTTTTGGAGGACGTGGAAGGTTGTCTTTAGGGTTGGGTCTAGGTGGAGTTGGGGGTGGTTGGTTTGGGTAGGGGTTGGGTTGAAGATGGTGGGGAATGGGGTAAGTGGTTCGAGGAAGGTGTCTCTGAAGAATATGGGTGTGGTGTTGTTTTGGAGGGCGAGGCCTAGGTCCCATCTGGTAATGGTCAATCAATGTAATGGGCTGGATGTTATAGGGAGGTAAGTGGCTTTGCTTACCTGAACAGCTCGATGAAAATCTTCTGGCTCTCGAATAAGCGCAGACCACCTCGAAGATCCATGATCGTTCGAATCCCCTCCATATGTTTCTGTGCGACCTCGGATTCGCCCATCAGATGCGCTGTCATGGCCAGCATCAGCACAGTGCGTACGGTGAAATCGGAGATTTTGGTCTGGAGATCGACGCCCGTTAGTCTCTCGCGGAGGATCTGCACGCCCTTTGTAAAATGGAGCATGGTCCTGCGATTGGAAAGGAGTTCGTCGGAATGTTGTCGACCGTGGACTGAGCCCATGAAGACTTCCGATGCGGATACGGTGAGATGCAGATAGGCGGCATCGGAGCGGATAGAGTCGTGGAACCAGGATTTATCCCTATAGTCGAACTCAATCAAGAATCCCAAGGGGAAGAACATTTGCATTGATAGTTTGGCGACTACATGGTATTCGCGTTAGCTACGCAATTGAAAGAGGGGGTTAGGGTAGGGAAGACCTGCATTGTAGTATATCAGCGAAGGTACGGGAATCCACTTGGACAGCGAATTGAGCAAATGACGGATCAGGCCCCACTACTAGTTTACTAGTCGATGGGATGAGGTTGGGGTCCTGATATACTTCTGCTGATTGTGGCGATGGAATCTGATCCTGTTGTATGGGGTTGGGCTTTTTCCGTCGGTCGTATCGAGGCCGCCCTTTGTTTATGCCCTGCATTACATGGCTTCGGATGAGTCGACGGGTGCTTCTGTCGGGCTTTTTGTTATCCGTTGATATGATAAAGTGCATGATTGGGTTGAGATAGCTCAGGTTGTATGCGCGATTTAGTAGAACATAGAACAGGGAGCTCGGTCGAGATGCTGGGCGATGGTTTGAAATCACGAAATTAGAGTAGGATGATATTCGGAGTCTTGATATCATTTACCCGAACAGGAACTTGAAGAGGGTGAATGGGGGCTTTTTATGGTTGGTTTGTCAGCTGGTGATGCTGACAGGAACCGATGGCGTGTCGCTACTTTCCTAATATCATTTGCCAATTCCGGTATAGTCACGGCCTTGGTATACTTTGGTGATACCAGTTCTACTATACTAGTATCCTTCTTGGGAAGTTGGAAATAAGATAAATTCCCCCCCCCCTGAACTTGTCTCTCATGGTGAGTTTCTGTTCTTTCTCTAACTACCAGACAAGCCTGATTCATTTTTACTCCTTCAGAATCCGCACCATGTCCATAGACCGAAAGACCGTCCTCATCACAGGCTGCTCCGATGGAGGCATCGGAGCTGCACTGGCTGAGACCTTCCACGATCACCGTTACCATGTCTTTGTCACTGTGCGCACCCCGTCAAAGGCCCCCAAAACACTCACCAACTCTCCCAACGCTACCATCCTCACCCTGGATGTGCTGGATTCGAATTCCATCACCAATGCAGTGGAGAAGGTGACCAAAGCCACTGGCGGCAAGCTTGACGTTCTGGTAAACAATAGTGGAAGCAGTATTATCCTCCCCGCCATGGATACCTCAATCGAGGAGGGCAAAAAGCTATTCGACTTGAACTTCTGGGCGCCTTTCGCCGTGACACAGGCCTTTGCTCCTCTACTGATCAGGTCCAAAGGCTGTGTTGTGAACAACACATCAGTGAATGGAGATCTTCCGTTTGTCTTTATGAGTAAGTCCAACCCTCCCCTTTAGTCCCAGACATGGCATCCCCTGACTAATGTACCTCACTCAAGGCATGTACAATTCCTCGAAAGCGGCGTTTATGAGCGCCAGTGAGACTTGGCGTATGGAGCTGGCTCCGCTGGGTGTTCGCACCATCACTCTCATGACTGGTGGTGTGAAGACTAAGTTCTTCGACAATTACGTACAACGCCAAGTCCCAGAGACCTCATACTACATCGGAGCAGAGGATGCTATTCAGAAAATGGGAGATGGAAGCTTGCAAGATAGTGGCGTTGATAGGTACGCATATGCGTCTAAGGTGGTTCAGGCAGTGGAGAGAAAGGTGTCAGGAAAGCTGTGGGTTGGTGGAGGCGCTGTCACTGCGAAATGGGCATTGTGGTTATTGCCGCAATGGGGTGTGGTAAGTATCCTTTTATTGCTTGTTGCAGAGTCTCTACTTAGCATCAATAATGGGCTAATTGCTTTGATAGGATTTGATGATGAGGAAAATGTTTCCTGTATTCGGGACAATCGAAGGTGGACTGAAGAAAGACGCTTAGAGTTGTGATATAGCTGCGCAACAGTCGTGACTGCCTAGCAGGGGTTGCAAAGTGGCCTTACTGATATTTTCAGCGTGATATTTGTGCCGGTTTTCGCATGTCAATTCCAGCATCTTGGTGCCATTTATATAGTTGTCTTTTAGCCTAGTCAATCACGGAGTCACCTGACGAGCTTTTGAGGTCCTCCCTATTTGCATCCAGCAATCCATCGCTTCTGACCAGCCTTGCTGTCTTTGAGCAAAAGTACATTATATACAACAGCTCTCGTTCACTATCCCTGTTTCTCACCAGCCAAAGGCCATTGTTCAAAACTGACTACACATGCATGAGGAAGCCTAGCTAAGCCCAACTAGCACCCCATTCTCGTTCTCAAAAGTCATGCTAATCCGTTCCGTCCACGGCTTAGTATTATAATCTGACACGGTCGAGAAGGTTTGGAATATGCGGGCCACAATGTACGTGAGAACAATCATAGCATAATGCTCTGCTCTTGTGTTAGCGAGTGCATCCTGGGAATCACCATAACTGAAAGGGACTCACGGCCGGGGCAGATTCTAGGACCCTTGTTGAACGGAATATAGCCAGCCATATCTCCACTTAGTTGTTCCCATCGTTCTGGACGAAACTCCCCAGGATCCTCGCCAAAATCCTGCCCTAAACGATGCCTAGCCCAGGTGGAAAAAACCACGATGTCTCCTTCCATGACAAGAATCGGCGCGTCACCATGGGCCCCACCTCCAGTTGGCAAGGTTGAATTCTTGTTTGCCACTCTCGCGTTCAAAACAACTGGGGGAAACAGTCTCATCGCTGGAATATTATGTTAGTGCATAGTAGAACTCAGATGGCCAAAAGAGGGGTCGAACCTTCTTGAAGGACCCAGCGGACATAATGCAGTGTCCCGAGCTGTCCCCATGTCGGAGGGTTTAATCCAATGGAGTCAATGATGCTTGCTCGCAGCCTATGCACCACACGCTCGTTCTGGGCAAGGCAATAGAAAAGTCCCGAGAGTGTCGTGCTCATGCTGTCATTTGCGAGTAGGATACTTAAAGCTTGATCAGCAAGCTGTGGTGCTTCATCTATATCAATTTGTGATTTGACCATAGACCACTGTTCTGCCTCCTTGTCTGCTCCGCCTTGTCTTTCCAATCCTCTAATAACGCAGGTCATCACATATTCTCGTGCGTTCTTGCAAGCCTTTAGAAAGCTTCGCTTGGGCACCAAGTGTCGCAGCGGGCCACGGAAGCCATCTTGCACGATTCTATTCTTAACGAGAAGAAGGTCCTCGAAAAATTGCTTCTTCTCTCGAGATTGGGTGAAGCTGAGAGCATCAATAGACTCTCCTAAAGAGAACAAGGTCTGCATGTCTAGAGACAGACCAAACGCGCAGGACTGGATATCGAAGGATTGTCCATCCGGAGGGACGTGCCGAAGAAATGCTTGGAAGTGCTGCTCACACAGGCTAAGATCGATGGCCTTACGAAGGTTGGAGAGCCGACTTCGCAACTGTTCCCGGCTTGTCTTCCAGCCCGCACCGTCAAGGGTGAATATTCCATGCGGTGTGATTGGCTCAAACAAAGGCCTCCGCAAGGGAGAACTATCGAAGTCGACAAATGCCGTGGAAAGCAGATGCTTGATATTAACCGCGTTACAGGTAAATAGAAGCCGAAATCCCAAGACATTGGAGACATATGTCTCCCCATATTCTTCGAAGAGTGTATTTGTGTACGAGAGAGATGTTCGGCGGCGAAAATGGTATGCCAACTCGATTGACTTAACAATTCCGAAGATGTCATACCAGAAGCGGTCGCTTTCGTTGGGCGGCTTCTGGCAGCCTTGAAGTTGTTCTAACCGTCGCAATCTTCGGCTCCGGTAGTATTTATTTACCAAGAGGGTAATCGTGGCACCAAGAGCAACCACAGCCAAAGCCAGACGAAGACTATCTGGGTAGAAGAGTCTGGGTAGCAGGAGTGCTGTCATGTTTGAAATCGTCCTTTGGACATCCTGCATGGTGACGAAGCAAGGACAAAGTAGGGCCCATATGCTGACAGAAGGCATTTACCCTGGGTAATAGTTAGTTAGTCATGCTCATATGACTAGCCTATCAAGGGTCTGAATGTTGCATTGCATGTGAGCAGGCCTGGGTTCTTTAACGAAGGAGTAGTGGTCAACAGGGGGAACAAGGAGGGCGAAAAAGGGAAGCTGTGCCCTAATATGCGACCCACCAATTTCCATGCTACTACTGGGATACGCTAAACGTGCCACTCGACTATTATAAATATGCATATTGTCTCCTTACCGCAGGTCCAGAGATCCGATATGAACCAATTCTTCATGCTGTCTCCCAGGCATTTATCTGCTACTACGAATTTGACTACAACAACTTCATAATCCCTACTTTCACTCTTGAAACAAACTACGACTTTGTGATGATGACCTCAAGAAAAGAGGGCCACGAAGAATGGGTAACATCTGGGAAAGAGCAACTTACTTCCGATGTAGAGCATACTCTCAAGCTTGCCAACGATTATGCTCTTGATTCGATACGCTCCGATGGACATTGGTGCGGGGAGTTGAGGTCCAATGTCACTATCACGGCCGAATACATCTTCCTTCGACACGCTTTGGGTCTAGACTTGAAAGCCGATAATGCGGCTTACTGCCGCCATATACTATCACAGCAGAACTGCGATGGCTCGTGGGGCCTAGCACCTGAGTATCCCGGTGACGTATCGACCACGACTGAAGCCTACTTAGCACTCAAGTTGCTGGGGGCGAGTCCAGACATGCCGGTCATGCAACAAGCCCGCGCATTTGTTCTCAAAGCGGGCGGCGCTGAAAAAGTTCGCGTTTTCACTCGCATCTTCCTGGCAACCTTCGGATTGTTTCCATGGGATGCAGTGCCCCAGCTGCCCGTGGAGCTAATTCTTTTGCCTTCCAGTTGTCCAATCAACATGTACACTTTGGCGTCCTGGGCCCGAGGAACCATTGCCCCGCTGCTGATTATCTGCCACCATCGGCCCGTGTACGCGCTACCGGAGGACTACCTAGATGAGTTATGGCTCGATCCGACGGACAAAATGGTGCCGTATGGCGCATCACTCCGGGATCTGCTGCGCCAGGGAGACTTTGCTGGACTTGCATTTAGTGTCGTGGATAACTTGCTTTACTACCTGAACGGTCTCCGTGCCGTCCCATTGCTCCGATCATACGCCCGACGAAAATGCCTACAGTGGATCCTCGAGCGCCAGGAGCCCACTGGTGACTGGGCTGGGATCTTTCCTCCGATGCATGCCAGTATTTATGCGTTCGTGCTAGAGGGCTACGAGCTGGATGACCCTCCAGTCCGCCTTGGAATTCAGGCATTGGAAAAATTTGCTTGGGAAGACGAAAAGGGCAAACGAATCCAAGCATGTGTTTCTCCCGTGTGGGACACAGCTCTGATGTCGATCGGGCTCTGCGATGCCATGTCGCCCGATAAGCACGTCCTCCAGCAGGCCATCACTTGGATCCGGAATCGTCAATTGCTGAAGCCCTGCGGGGACTGGCGGGTCTACCGCCCTAAGCTAGCCCCCGGAGGGTTTAGCTTCGAGTACGACAATAGCCACTATCCCGATGTGGACGACACCGCGGCCATCATTCTGGCTCAGCTGAAGCAGGATCCTCAATCCGTCGCTTCGGACTCTGTGATTGCAGCTGCAACATGGATCCTAGGCATGCAGAACACTGATGGCGGCTGGGCTGCCTTTGACGTGGAGAATGATAAGCTGTTCCTCAACAAAATTCCCTTCAGTGATATGGACAGCTTGTGTGACACCTCCTGTGCCGATATTACTGGGCGGATTCTGGAAGCCTTCGGATTGATGATGAGACGTGAATTGAAAAGGCCCCTCCTTTCTCCAATTTTACGGCATGCATGCACTCGGGGGATCACATATCTTGCATCCACACAAGAGGCCAACGGAGCCTGGTTCGGACGATGGGGGTGTAATTACGTCTATGGGACGTCTCATGCACTGTGCGGATTGGCTTACTACATGGAAGATGACAAGCGAGTCAGTGGGCTAGTAGCGCCAGCGTTACAATGGCTAAAATCCAAACAAAATGACGACGGCGGTTGGGGCGAACCGCTACTATCCTACCAAACAACAGGCACTCAGCTGCAGCAGCAATCAACTCCATCACAGACTGCATGGGCGCTAATGGGACTATTGGCCCACCTTCCCCTCACTGACCCTGCTATTGAGCGTGGGATCCGGTGGCTGGTATGTTCACAACAGCCAGAAAAGGGCATTGGAGCTTCCTGGCCCGAAGCGGTCTACACGGGAACAGGATTTCCCAATCATTTCTATCTGGGCTACGACTACTATCGGCATTATTTTCCCATGATGGCCCTTGGGCGCTATTTGCAGGCGAGTCGGGCCCACGCCTGAAGAAGCCGCAAGGAGGTGATCGCAGCCACGGGATCGATCACATGCGTCTATTTTTCTGAATAAGACTGTAAAAACCATGTGAACAGAGACTTTGTGGCGATATCTAGATTGTGAAATCATGTTTATTGTTTGGCAGCGCTATCTTGAACAGTATTTACTACATCTGAAGTACTTTTTAAACTTCGACCATTTACCAGTATGTCCTTGCAGCATGGTAGCAGCGCAACTTTAAACGCTGTAGGAAGTTTCTTTATTCTTATCACCAGTACTGCCAAGTGCCAACACGTGGCCAAACTTAAGATGAGCTTTCTTTTTTTACCAGTACTGCCAAGTGCCAACATGTGGCCAAACTTTAAGATAAACTTACATAACCGTAAGGATTCTACAAGAAATAGACTTTTTCAAAGCACATGCAGAAACGGTGCAGCACGACCAAGAATATTGAACATCGGAAAGAGATAATACTCACGAATTGTGACGGATCCTATCAAAGTATCGTGCGTGAATGAGACATACTTGAAAAAGCGTGAGACAAGGCCCAACTATAGTTGCCACCAATTTGTCTTGAATAATTAGCCGAGCTGACGGGGCATAATGCAGCTGGATATTACTGGTATATACTCGGTAATTGGCCCTTACTCAAGCGACCGGATACTAGTTCCGGGGTGTGATTGATAGCACTTAACTCGATGACAACAAGGAACCTCGAGAGTCGAGACATGCCGCACGAGATACGTAGCACACATACTGGTTTGTTTGTCTGTCGGGTGGCCCGGGATTTGATTGAGCAGACTATAATTTGGAAGTCGGCCTAGTGGATTTGGAGACTGGAGAGTGTCTGCACTTGCAGACTACTAAGTATTTGCTCCGCTTCCTTGGTCGGGATCATAACGGTGTCTGTCTATAGTTGGATTGATTTGGTAGGTGCTCCGTAGCATAGGCCAGGGCTGAAGGGCTGAAGGTTAGGTAGTAGTGGGACTGCGAAGGATGGACCAGATTTGAATCGTGAGGCACTTCCTGAGTATCATTGGTTCTTGGTAGGTATGCTGTGAGACTTAGTAGATTGGGACGGGCTCTTCAGTGGGCGTGCAAGTATCTCGAGGAGGATCCTGCTCTGCGGGGGCGAGTGGGGCGTGCGGCTGAGGTGCATGATCATGCTGGATGAAATTATCTTTTCGTCACATTCTCCCTGCCTTCAAATGGATCAAGTTAGATCGATTGGATAATTGAGAACGGGACGGAGCGCATGTGTTTGCTTCCCCTCCTGTGGAACTCCGAGCATTGCTCCTGCCCTACTCTCCCGTTCCCGGTTGGCATGCGTGACTCCCATAACGGAGATGAAGATGAAGATGAAGATGACAGGTCGTGCAGAAAAGTAGAGAGACTGGGGGTCCTTGACATGCCTCTCTTTCTATGTAGCCCCATCCCCCTTTCTTCTTTGGCCCTCACCTTGCACGATAGCCCAACACCATGATGTATTTCTTTTCGAACTTCAGTCGTTCCCGGCCAGCAACTGTGACCACTGACAAGGTTGTCCCTCTACGGTACTGGGATGACCTGGACTATCTCCGTCATCTCTGCCATGATTTCACCTTCCGTTTTGACGACGTACTGGACGCCTCCAAGCTCGATGCTGCTCTGGCACGTTTGACGGAGATTGGAGACTGGAAACAAATGGGAGCTCGTCTGCGCCTGAATGTATGGCTGTGAAGATCAAACCAGGTCCTTCCAGAATCAACGAGGCTAATTCTCTTTCCATTTCAGGACCAAAATCGCCTCGAATACCACATTCCCGCTGAATATACCAAAGCGCGGCCCGCATACAACTTTACCACCACCGAGTATGGGTTGCGCATCTCCGAGCACGAACTCGGTAGACAGCTACCAAAATCAGGCCAAGATCAATCGGTTCTCTCGCCTTCGCCTGCTGTCTTCGCTCCCATTGTCCGCCATGCGGATAGTCCTCGCAAGCTGGCTGACTGGATATACACCGACCGGCCACAACTTCATATCCATGTATCTGTCTTCCAGGACGCGACTCTGGTGACAATTAGCTATGTTCATACTCTGTTCGATGCTATTGCGAGGTCAACATTCTTCAACGCGTGGATAGCTGTTCTGCGGGGTCGAGAAGACGAAGTACCGCCTTTCATCCCTTTCGAACATGATCCTCTGCGCACACTGGGTACAGAAGCCCCGGTGAAGCCTTATAGTAAATTTGACCGCGCTCTTAGCGGACTTAGCCTTGTGATGTTTGGGCTGCGGTATCTATGGGAGCTGTTCTGGTATCAGCAAGAGGAGGAACATCCCATTCGCCTACCAAGACTATGCGTGGAACGGCTGAAGGAATCCGCTAGGAAAGAGCTTGCTGCGATGAGCTCCGATAATGAGGACAAGGCGCCCTTTCTGAGTGAAGGTGATGTCGTTATGGCGTGGTGGGTGAGGACTATTGTCACAGCTCTGAATCCGGCGCCAGATCGAACCATCATGGTCATGAACGTCTTCAACGTATGGGCGCTTTTTGAGGAGTGGTTCCCAACTGGCGGCGCGGGGTTCATTGGTAACGCTTTTTTCTATTCCTACACGCTGCTAGTTGCAGGCCAGGTTATTCAGGATGCTAGCCTCGCATATGTGGCGTCCAAAAACCGTAAAGCCCTCATGGAGCACCGGACAAAGGAACAAGTTCAAGCCATGACATCCATGCAGAGGGCATCGTTCACTCGGACACCACCAGTTGTCGGAGATGCCAATTTGCTATTTATGGCATGCACGAATCAGCACAAGGCCAGGTATTTCGAGCTGGACTTTTCGGCTGCCGTGGTGGCCCTGGGAGTGCCTCTGAGCGAACGGCCACATGCTCTAGGTAGACCGTCGTATATCAACGACATTGAGACTTGTCAGGGGTACCCAACCCGGAACGTAGTCAGGATCATTGGGAAGGATGCTGCGGGTGATTATTGGCTTTTGTTCAAGACTCGACCGGGCGCGTGGGCAGTTATTCATAGACAGTTGGTAGCGTTGCTGAAGCTGGATGAGAAAGAATGATGTATGTCAAGCAGATTAGTTAGTACGAGAAGCTTGAGACCAGTGGGTCTGAATATGGAAAGAACTATGAGAGTGCCGTGACCACGTAGCAATCGCATCTTAGTCCAATCCATCTTAGTCGATCGCATCTTAGTCCCTATAAATGGACCGGTCGCCCCGGAACATTCGCCCTTGGTTCCGCGCCTTGGGACAGAGCTACGCCTAAGCATGTCCAGCCAGGGGATCCCACTCAAGGTTATTCAGCCCACTGCTGACACAATACCAACGGCAGAAATTATCCAGTCTCAAATCCATATAGAGCGCAGCACCGCCAATGTTTTCACCATTTACCGAAGCGCCAACGCATCCCAGCTATGTATGCTGTTCCTATCAGTGTGCTGCGCAATAGCCGCGGGCGCAGCAATGCCTCTAGTAACCGTTGTGTACGGGAACTTTGCACGCGAATTCATCACCGGAGACAACAATGCACCGGATGAGATTCGAGATCGTGTTCAGCGCCTCGCGCTCTACTTGGTGTATATCGGTAGGTAGATCTGCATAATCCGTTATCTGCCACCATCTGACGCAACAGCGCAGCAATCGGGTCTCTGGTCACAACCGCTATCAGCACGTTTGGCTTCAACATTATTGGGGGGAAAATATCGCGCCAGCTTCAGCAGAAATACCTCGCTTCGGCTTTGCGGCAGAATATGGCTTATTTCGACGTAGTCGGAATTGGAGAGTTGACGTCTCATATGGATCAGGATATGAAACTGATCCAAGCTGGTATCTCGCAGAAAGTTGGTGAGTTGATTTCTGGGCTGTCTGGCTTTGTGGTTGCTATTGTTTGTGCATTCATCCAGAATGGGCGCTTTGCAGGCATAATGATCTCTCAGCCCATAGCCCTGCTTACACTCATCGGGGTGTTGGGGGGTTCCTTGAGTGTAACACAGCGAAGGGGTCTGGCTCAGTACGTCAGAGCAGATAATCTGGCCCAGGAAGTGCTCAGCGCTATGAGGAGTGTCATTGCTTATCGGAGCCAGGAAAGGTATGGCAAAAGGTATTACGAGGCGTTGCGACGTCCAGCTGAGTTAGACTTTCGGGAGCGCTTCATTTTTGGGATGCTTGTTGCGGGGTCTTTTATGGTTATGCACTGGGCGAATGGTTTGGGTGTATGTATACCGTCTTTCCTTTCGGTATTTCTGCGACAATCAGATGAGTCCCTGCTGACAACTGTCAAGTTCTGGCAGGCTGATTATCTCCTCCGCCAAGGGCGTTGCACTATTTCGGAAGTTTTGACTATTCTGTATGCAATGGCCGTTGCAGGAGGAATGCTAAGCCAAGCATTGCCATCCATTGTCAATATCACACAGGCCAATGCGGCCGCCAGCCGTGTCTTCTCAGTCATTGAGCGGGAATCGCCCATAGATCCTTCTGTAGGTACCGGGGTGACGCACAGTCAGGTCAGAGGGGATATTGTTTTCGAAGACATACGCTTTACGTATCCTTCACGGCCTGAAGGGGAGGTCCTAAAAGGCGTCAATTTCGTTGCGCCTGCCGGGCACACTGTAGCGTTTGTGGGACCATCCGGGTCAGGAAAATCAACCATATTCGCACTTTTGGAACGACTGTACCATCCACACAGTGGTAGGATTATGCTGGATGGCGAGCCAATTGATACCATGAATGTCTCGTGGCTAAGGTCCCATATTGGGTACGTCGGTCAGGACGTCACTTTGTTCCGTGCATCAATACTTGACAACATCGCATATGGGCTTCCCAAAGCTGCAGCTGAGGTGCTTCACGACTATCTTTTGCCTCTGAGTCTTGAATGCTGATTCTGTAATGCAGGGTTTGGAGGCAAACGCGATACGAAAGCTCGTAATCGAGGCGGCCAAAGTTGCCCACATTCACGAGTTTGTTGCGAGTCTGCCCGAGGAGTACAATACCATGGTTGGGGCACATGGATCGAATCTCTCAGGAGGCCAGAAACAGCGTATTGCTATTGCCCGCGCAATTGTCTCCCAACCAGCAGTATTACTGTTGGATGAGGCCACGGCTACGCTCGACAGTCTCTGTGAAAAGGCAGTGCAGGAGGCGCTGGAAAAAGCTGCCTCAGGACGAACTACCATGATAATAGCCCATCGGCTGTCGACAGTCCAGAATGCTGACAAGATCATCGTCATGAAGGAAGGCCAAATTCTTGACCAAGGCTCCCATGCAGAGTTGTTGAGTACATCTGCAATGTACCGAGAATTAGTGAGGCATCAGGCACTTGAATCATCCCAGCGATCAAATGACGACAGGCTTATCAGTCAAAAGCCTCATTCGTTGAGCACTCAGGAAGAACATCTCAAAAATACCTTGGTCAATCTCGATATGGTGAATATACCAGAAGACGGTCAGTTAGCAGTACGGTCGTCCAGTAGCAGTGTTAGGCATGTTTGGGGTCTCAATAGACCAGAACTGCCTTACACAGTCGCTGGCCTGAGTTTCAGCGTTTTAGCTGGAATAACATATCCGGTTCAAGCAATCTTCTTCGGTAACGGGATCATGTCAATGATCGATTCTGGCCTCAGTACCGGTGGGCATAATGTTCAATTTTGGGCTTCTATGTATCTTACCCTCGGTATTATCGCATTTGTGGTTTATTCCGTACGGGGATACTGCTTTGCCGTGTCCGCATCACAGTTGGTTCTCCGAGCCCGCTCGCAGTTGTTTAAGCAATTGATTGTGAACGATCTGCCCTTCTTCCAGGACAAGGACAACTCGATTGGTGCATTGGTCAGCTTCCTTGCATCTGGACCTCGGCAAGTGACTGGTATTTCGGGAACATCACTGGGGCTTGTGGCTGAAAGCATTGTGATGCTCGCGACCGGAATTACCATCGGATGTATCTTTGGGTGGAAGCTTGGTCTTGCTGCGACAGCAACGGTCCCATTAGTAGTTTTTTCCAGCTTCATGCAATACCATACTGTGGCGCAGGTACAAAAGCACATCACGCGTGATACTGGTGCTGTCGCCATTGCACATGAAGCCCTATCTGCCATCAAGACTGTAACAGTCCTTGGTCTGCAAAAGACCATCAGCGCATCGTTCGAAAATGAAAGCCATCGAGACAGCCAAAGCAAATACTGGCTCATGTTTGCCGCGACATATGCGTGCACCACTTCCCTCCGCGTGATGAGCATCGCTTTCGTTTTCTGGTACGGCGGTACACATCTAATCGCGACTGGCGAATACAATGTCCAGCAGTTCTTCATCTGCTTTGCAGCTACAATGTGGGGATCACAGTCTGCGTCCGTGCTATTCGCCCATGCTCCTGACATCGTAGGCTCTGAAGCTGCTGCTGCTCGACTGGAGAAGCTGATGCGGGCCGGAATATCGTCAGCCGCCTACAGGAAATTGAATAAGGGCAACGCTGATGTGCCAAGTATCACCGCAAACGTTTCGCTGCGACGCGTCACTTTCAAATATCCAAGCCATCAATCTCGAGTAGCCTTGAACGATGTCAGTCTCGACGTGCCAGCGGGTGCCTTTATTGCTCTTGTTGGTGCTACAGGCAGCGGGAAGAGTTCAGTGATAAATTTGCTGGAGCGCTTCTATACCAGCGAATCTGGCGCAATAGCACTAGATGATATGTCCATTGAACAATATGACCTCGACAGTTACCGAGGGTATCTAGCACTGGTCGACCAAAACCCTTGTCTTATTGGTGAAGACCTGCGCGACTGCCTGCAAAGTGGCGAGCAGGTTGTATCAGACGCCGAGGTTTTGGCCGCTCTAAAGGACGTTGGGTTAGCCGATTTTGTGGTAGGCTCTTTCAATTCTTCCTATCGCCTTGTTACAAATTCTGATTATTTTGTTTCTTGCGTCAGCTATCACTCCCTCAAGGTTTAAGCACTCCCATCATGGCAAACGGATCGACCCTGTCTGGGGGGCAGCGCCAGCGCATGGCAATCGCGAAGGCGCTTCTATGTCAGCCAAAGATTCTGTAAGTGCCCCTTATTGTAGAAAGCGTTTGATCAGTAGATTTTGACACTTCTCAGCCTACTTGATGAGGCAACCTCTGCCCTGGACTCCGCCTCAGAGGAACTAGTCCAGAGGACAGTTCAGCGTGTGATGAAAGGGCGAACGGTCATCGCTATTGCCCATCGACTAAAGACGATTGTCGATGCTGATGAGATCTTAGTATTCAAGCATGGACAGATTGTAGAAAGAGGTAGTCACGGGAAGTTGATGCACCTTGAGGGTGAATATTGGCAGATGGCCAGGTTACAGTCGCTGATGGGGGAAGAATGAACTTGAAGTTGAGAGTGTATATGCCTGGTTTGCATATAGTTCGGCTATGCAGTAATGAATGAACATAAAACATTGGTAAGCGGGAAAATTTAACTTATGAAATTACCGAAAGAAACCCAAGACCCTGAATATCATCATGTGACCCAGCAGTAGGCTTGGCATAGCCGAAGACAGACTAGTCAAGTGACCGGCATGAAGGTCTGATCCCCCCCCCCAAAACGATCCATAAAAAACGAGTTCGAGCGGAATCACCGGATGCCACCAATTACTCCCACCCCTTGGCAGACAGACCTGTCCGACTAGTACATGCTCCTTGGCATATTTCTTTTGAACAAGTCTCAGCATCCAAATTAGTTGAATACCTGATAGGTCGGTCAAATTAGAAGTGGTGAACACTCCCCTCCTCTTTCTCCCCTTGTAGATAGGCAACAACCAATACCTGCACGGAATAAATTGATAGCTCCGAGATTGGCAGGGTCCTGTTCCCTTCCGCTCAGATGCGTCGGAGAGAATGAGCGAATTGGTAGTGCTTGGGTTCGGCCATCAAGGCTAAAGTAGCATTTCTGTGGGGATGACTAGTCAGAAAGTCCAGGGGGGGTTAACCTAACCTGATGGTGGAAAGCAACCTTGGTTCTTCCGAATAAGGGGCAGTTCGTTACGGTATTGGGAGTTAGGGGTGGGTGTACGGATGTTGTACGATGGTGGTATGTACTATTTACCACTGACCATCAACTTTTGTTGTAACTCT